CTGGCAGGTAGATCCCCCCATCCTAGAACGGAGCAGGACCGTGCGGGGACCCTGGTCTTGGGACTCCCTTCCCCCAGGGGCAGAGGCAAGGGATGTTTTCGAAGTTACTTAAAAATAATTCCCGGATACATTGTGACAGTAAAACAATCTAGGGTGGTTTTTTTTTTTTTTTTTTTCCCTTTTCTGAATTTGTTTGAGTTTTTTTGGGGTGGAGGGAAGCTTCGTGTGTCCCTCTGAAGGACACCCTCCCCCACTGAGTCGCAAAGCCAGGAGAGGGCTTCAAGGCTGTCTGGCTGGTGGATTTCTCTGAGTTTGAATTTGGGGGTGACTTCAGTGTGCTGTGACAGCTGCTGGGGGGGGGCTACCAAATTTCCCTTGGAGCGGGGCTGTGCCACCCCTCCCCTTCCTGGGGTGGGGCCTGTGGGGAAGCCTGGAAGTGGCTGGAAAGGGGAGATGTGGAGCCAGGGGAGGTTCTCGCCACTGGGCGTCCAGTTTAAAACTTGCAACTTGATTCCCCGGTGGCCGCCAAGGGCTCGAGGGAATTTGGATTCTCCCCAGGTTTCAAACTCCCTGTGGGCTCTGAGGAGGGGTCTGCAGGGCCCCCAGCTCTGGAGTTCTAGCTTCTCTGTCCTCCAGACCCTTGGGGCCAGCCAGGGGCCTTTTTAAAGGCTTCCCCACTCCGCTCTGTCCGTGTAGACCATGGTCGCTCCACCCTCTTATCTCCCCTGCTTGTTCTCTGTCCCCGCGTCCACGGCGCAGGACTGTCTCTAGGCCCGAGGTGCCCACCCCGGCCCCAGCACCTGCCGTTGCTGCCGGAGGATGAGCCAGCCGCAGAGGATGGCGCCCGTGGGCACGGACAAGGAACTCAGTGACCTCCTGGACTTCAGCATGGTAAGCCCGGATCCCTGCTTCTCCCCCAGCCCGGCCCAGGCCTGTGTCCGCCTGCTGGACACACCCTCCGCCCCCAGAACCCATGGGCAGGCTTTTAAGGGGAAAGACCGGGTTTGCTGAAAACACTCCCAGCAAGGGAGCCTCGGTCTGTTTGGGTGGGAGGTTTTCTGGGAGGGGCTGGGGGAGTTGGGGTCCTCTCTGCTGGGCAGGCTGATGTCCCCATGGCAGTGTGTGCAGCATTGGAGTTTTGCCCAGTCACATAATGGCGATAGCCCGCTACTTTACAGATGGAGAAACTGAGGCCCAGAGAGAGGGAAGGACTGCCTGGGGTCTGGCTTCTCCATGTGGGGGCTAGGGCTTGGCCTCAAGCGCTCAGCCCTGAGGCCTCAGCTGGGTGAGCAAACTGTGGCTTTGACCTTCCCATCTCTAGAATGGGGCCCAGTCGGGGTCATTTGGTCCATCACAGAAGCAAAAAAGAGGGAGTGCTGAGTGGACCCATGTGCTGGGAATGGGGCTGCCACGTCCTGGCCCGCACAGGGCTCCCCGGCTCATGTGGGCAGAGGACCCATAATAAAACCAACTCCTCAGTCACGCGGGATGGCAGTGTGGAGCGGTCACCTTGCCAGGAGCCCGGGTGTGGCCAAGCAGGAGGAGACTGTGTTGGGAGTCCCAGGAGTGGGCGTCCGCGGACGGCACCTGGCCAGAAGGAAGCACTGTCATTACTGTCGTGGTGGTTGTTGGGGAGAAGTTAGGCCCCGCGGGGAGCGCGTGAACATCCATAGATGTCCCAGGTGGTTTGATCTGTGTCTGAATGGCCCCTTTTGCAGCTGGGCAGATGGAGACGCAGAGAGGGCGCCGGCTCACAGAGGTCACACAGCTCAGGCTCGGTGAGGCTGAAAACCAGAGCCCCCTTGGGTGCTGCGAGCTGGTGGGCGTCTTGGAGACCCAGGGGCCTCAGTTTGCCCATTTGTGCAGTGAGGCCACCCATTGTGGGTGTCAAGGGGCCAGTCAGTATCTGTTTGAAAAACCCAGGAACCTCGGTTTCCTTCTTCGGGCTTGGCTGTGGACGATCCTTTAAAGCTGTCTCCCCACCCCTGCTAAGCACTATTTTGGTTCGAAACATTTCGGGGGAGCCACTTTCAGTCTGAATTCAACCGGCCCCTGGTACGAAGCGTAGGCCACCGAGGTCTGTCAAAAACAAAAGTCCCCAAACTGAAACATCAGCCACTCTGCGGAAAAACACAGCCCCCGGGACGGAGGGACCACAGCTCCGGAAGGGCCACACCGGTATTTTTAAGCTCCGTTTTATTTTTGCCTCCCCGGCTGAGTAACCAGAGGTGGTTTGGTTGTTTTTTTGTTAAACTGACAAGTCACAGACTATTGGGCCGGAACGGACCAGCTTTTGGGGGTTTGCGGGGGCCTAGATTCAGCCCTGCAGAACTCAGAACCCTGAGCTGCCAAGCGAAAGTCTCCCCTGCCCTGGGTCAGAGCCATTAGCCCAGTTCACAGATGAGGAAACTGAGGCCGAGACGAGGGGAGGTGCTGGCCCCTCCAGACATCTTCCCCTGGGCTTTGTGCAGAGCCCCGTTTCTCCCTCCTCGATGTTATGAGGGGGGCTTGCCTGGGTGGTCATGGGCGCAGAGGGAGCTGCCACCACTGCCCAGGTCCCTCTGTGTCTTCATAGCTGCCTCTGTGCCACCTTCCTCAGAGACTCTGCGTCAGTTCGTGTCTTTGAAACAACTCCTTTTTGGCCTGAAACGAGCAAACACAAATCAACTGCCCTGAGACCTTGGCTGGTGGTGACCAGTCTTGCTGGCCCTGAGGCTGCACAGAGGCCTGAGTCCATTTCACAGATGAGAAAACTGAGGCTCCACGGGGTGCGGGGCCTGGTCTGGGCTGATCACGAGGCCCCCAGAGCCCCCGAGGACACAGCCCGGTGCCCCCTTGTGGCAGGCACCATGTCACCATTAGCTCCTGGCATCCTAGGACAGACTGAACAGAAACAGAAGCAACCCCACGCCCCTCGCCCTCCGACCGCCATGTGCTTGGTTGAGCTCTAGGCCTGGGGTCTGTTTGGTTCTGGTCCTGGCCATGCCACCCTTCCCCCACAGCAGGCCTCAGTTTCCAAGTGGGAGAGTGGCCCTGTTCCCTCTTTCTGAGGGGAGGTTGGGCCAGTTCCCATGTGACACACAGGATGTGGGTCCTGGGTTGGAACCTATCTCCAGGTGGTACCACCTCTCCCTACGAACCTGTGCTTGTTCTCCTGGGCTAGACGAGAATGTGGACTCAGTTTCCCCTTTTGTAGATTGGGGGTGTGGGGCAAGGCCCCAGACACCCTGCCTTCACCCCCCAGCTGGCAGGGAGGTCTCTGGGACTGCTGGGGCGACTGTCCAGCAAGCCCCTGGCCCGGATTCCAGCCACTTGACTCACTCGGGCCCCAGACAGGATCTTTAAACCCAGCCCCTTGGGGCAGGGCAGGGACATGCTTTGTTTTTTTCTGTGGCAAAAGGGTTAGTTGATGTTGGCTTTTTCCGGTTAATGCTGCTAAGCTGTTTAATCTTTAGGGACTTAGTGCCCTGGGTATGGGTGAGCTGGGAGGGAGGCGGCCTCACACCTTAGCGCCTGGGAACACGGCTGAATCGCTGTGGCTGAATCACTGCTGCGTGCCCTTCCCTGGCCCCTCCAGCTTCCTGCCAGCCCCGGGGCTGCTCTGTGTCACCCCTGCCTCAACCTGCTGCCTCCTTGAGCCTCAGTTTCTCTTTCTGCCAGGCAGGCTGATGCCTACCCTCATAGGGTGTGGTGAGGACAGGGCCTTGCAGGTGGGGGACGCTTGACCCCTGTTCCCAGCTTCCGGGGGCCTGCCCCACAGGGTCTGGTAAAGCTGAAAAGTACAGGCAAGTTTGTATCGATTCTGGAGGGAATAAGTTGTATCGATGCCCAGTAGAAAACACACCACGTGAATTGCAGAGTCTTAAGTTCTGCTGGATACTGTTGTTGCCCGCAGCGGTAGCACATTCAGGCACTGAGCGTAGGAGCCACTGTCTGGCCTTTTCTCACCCTGGGGGTCGGGGCCCCCGATGCGCCCAGATTTGGGGCACGACAGGCCTCGGGGTCTTTGGGTCTCCAATGGGACGGGACATGCCTGTGTGGAGCTAGGCTGCTGGTCCCCAAATGTCCCCAAGCCCTGTGCCCCACTGTGGAGCCTGGGATTGCGGGGCTCAGTTTGCCACCTGTTCGCACTCACCTTTCCCTCCTCTCCCCGCAGATGTTCCCGCTGCCTGTGGCCAACGGGAAGGGCCGGCCCACCTCTCTGGCTGGCGCGCAGTTTGGAGGTTCAGGTAGGACCGCAGCTCCTGGCCATCACACGTAGGGGTCTGTTGGGGATGAAGCGTCGGGTGCGGGGGATGGGGGTGGGCAGAGCAGATCAGGTGGGGGCAGTGAGCCTGAGAGCCCCGAGGTGCAGCTACCGTCCCTTGCACGACCTGACCGGGCCTGGCAGATGGAGCCCAGTGGACAGTGTGCTGTCCCTTCAGGCCCCCCACCCCTGTCTGGAGTCTGGGCCCTGGCCTCAGGGTGGTGGCTGGTGAGGCCTTGCCCTTAGGACCAGGGCTGGGGCTCGGCCCATGTGCACATGGGGGGCTCAAACCTCCGTGTCTCTAGTCCGTGCACGAGGGGGGACTGAGGCTCAGGCGAGGTGTGACATGGAGCCCCAGATCCCGCCCACCTTGTAAGCCCCACGTGATGTCTAGCTGCCCCGACTGTTTTCACTCCGTTGTGTATTAGGTACTTACTGTATACAAGGCGCAGCACTAGGGTGACCAACCTTCCTGGTGTGCCCAGGACTGACGCGGCCCTGGGGGCTCCATGGGGTCTGGGACTTCGAGCACTAAAACCGGAGAATTCCCAGGCTGACCCGGACAAGTCCGTCACCCTGAGCGATGCCAAGGGTGGGTGGGGGGTGTTGGGGGTTGAGAGCCAGCAGGGAGGAGGGCTGAGAATTGAATGAAGGCGCAGCCGGGTACGGTGGCTCTTGCCTGTGATCCCAGCACTCTGGGAGACCGAGGCAGGAGGAATCACTTGAGGCCAGGAGTTCCAGACCAGCCTGGACAGCACAATGAGACCCTGTTTCTGTAAAAAATTTTAAAAATTAGCCAAGCGTGGTGGCTCGTGCCTGTAGTCCCAGCTATGTGGGGAGGCTGAGGCAGGAGGATGGCTTGAGCCCAGGAGTTGGAGGCTGCAGTGAGCTGTGATTGTGCCACTGCACTCCAGCCTAGGCAACAGAGTGAGACCCTGTCTAAAAAAAAATGGCACGTGGCAGGGCCAGGCTGCAGCCCGGGCAGGGGAGGTCTCCGGGGAGTGGGTGTTCGAGCAGAGACCTGAGGGCATGAGGAAGGGAGCTGTGAGGGTGAGGGAGGAAGAGTATGCCAGGCAGCAGGCTCAGTTTGTACAGAGCCCCTGAGGCCAGGCGGTGCCCAGCTGTTGGAAGCATAGTGAGGAGACTGGTGTGGTCAGAGGGCTGTGAAGTAAGGACAAGGAGGGGATGGGGCAGGTTGCTGCGGTCCTCATGGGCCACGGAGGGGCGCCTATCTCTGCTCCAAAGGCAGCAGGGACCCATGGAGGGTTATGGGCAGAGATTGGTCTGTCGTATGTTCCAGGAATCCCACCCTGGCTGTCCATAGGAGCCCCTAGGGGAGGCCAGGGCAGGCACACCTCAAGGTTGTTTTAGGGTCTCCAGTGCCTCTGACTGTCTGCTTGGACTTGAATGTCTTCCTGCGTGTCTCTGGACTGGGGCCTCTTAGGCTGTGTCCATCCCCGACTCTGGGATTGGGGCAGACAGTTCTGTCTTGCAGTTGTCTCCGAAACCCACTGGGGGTGACCTGAGGGCTCCACCTGGGGGAGGAGGGGTTTCGAGGGTTGGCCAGGGTGTTTCATGTTGGCACCCCTACCCCCAAAGGGAGGGACGTCACATTGCTGCCCCACCAGCCTTCCCCTCAGCCTGAGGAAGTGGCCGCAGGGTGGCCAGAGTACTCCCGGAGGCCTGGAAATCCCCATGGCTGCCTGCCATCCCCCCGGAAGCAGCCCCTAGGAACTGGAGGTGCTGACACTTCACTGCCTTGGCAGAGGGTTGGGCCTGAAGGCTTCCTGGAGGAGGTGGTGCAGACACAGTGGCAGTCCCCCGTCATCCCCCCAGACCTCTGCCCTGAGCTTACAGCAGTGCTTGGCGGGGAGGCTGGGGTGGAGGGGGGTGTCTTTCCTCATCCATTGTCCTCCCTTGCTCTCCCTCCCCTCCCACGGACCCCAAGCAGCCAGACCCGGGGCGGTGGGCTTGGCTCAGAGAACCTTCCCTCCAGGCTGGCTCTGGCAGGAGCCCTGTAAACATTTGTAGATGGATGTTCTGGTAGCCTCAGGCCCCCAAATGCATCAGGCTGAGTTTTCAGGGGAATCATGAGGCCCTTCATGCTGCATTTACTGCCCTTGAGGGATGTGGTGTGGTTGGTCTGGCCTGGGACACCCTGTCCCCTGGTTCAGTTCCCGCAGCTAACACCAGCCTGAGCCCGGGGGCGGCATAGGACCGGGAGCCCTAAGGTCTGAGCTTAGACACCACTCCCTCCTTGCTTCCTGGTCTTGCTCCAGGCCCCAGACAAGCTGTGTCACCCTCAGTTTCCTTATCTGCACAATGGGCGTCTGCCCTGTCCTCAGAGAACTCTGGAGTCAGCGGGTGTGAGAGGGTTCTGTAAGCTGCGGGGTGTGGGGCATGTCTTGGTGGAGTCCTCTCGGCCCTGCCCGGACCTCATGGTGCAGGGGACCTCAGAACTGCAGTCACCCCAACCTCGCAGAGGACCCTGGGTACCGCAGAGCCTGGCAGTCTATCAGCAGGGCGGGGCATCCCCGGGGCTGTTGGACTTCTGCCAGGCCCCAGAGGGGTACAGCCTTCTTCCACACGGGCCTGGTCGGTTTTTGGGGAACACCGCCATCTCTCAGGACGTCCCAAATGCTAATGGGTTTCTCCAGCCAACTTTATCTACCTGACCCATCCTGGTGTGCCAGGTCTAGCACCTATTTAGTGCTCCTTTAGATTAGCTTACTTCTCTTAAACTCATGTTGAAAGGAAACTTTGTGAGATTGAAACGTAATCAGAGAGGCCGAGTTGCATTGCTGTCCGCAGTGTTGCCTGAGGAAGTGTCTACCTGGTCTGTGTTTTTTAAAAAACACTGGTGTTAAGAGAGGCATTAGAGACAAACTAATGGGAGACCACGATTCTTTGCTTATTTATATTGGAAGACATTTAAAACAGGAATAATTCTTCTACCACTCCCCCCGCCTCCCATTTTTGGAAACCCTCAGGCACAGATCTCTAAGAAACAGCCATAGTAGAATAGACACAAATCAGCAATAATGTAAACACTGCAACCATGAGGTGCGGCCAAAGCTGTGTTTGGGGGAAGAATCGTAGTCTTCAACTTTCTCACTTATTAGAGCAGGTAGAGTGAAAAGAAATGGATTAAGCATTTAAATTTAGAACTTATCCAACAACACAGTAAACTCAAGGAAACCTCTTTAGGTGGTTTGAACTGTCTCTTAGTATTTCCTAAGTTGCCAGTTACCCGTGAATTTTTTTCCTCATCTTTTTATCTCCCTGTCACCATCTCAGTACTATTCAGTTTTAGTCACAGAAGCTCTGGTGTTTTTATAGTCCTGCTTGTTCATTTCTCATGTTTTTGCCCCCAGGTTTTCAGACATGCTGATATTTCTTCATGATCTTTTGAATAATTATGTCTGCATGCCCCACCCAAAAAAACTTCGTATTTTGACATTACGTTAAATTCATAGATACATTAGTCTTTACAGTTTTCGCATCATAAGAACCTGGCATCTTGCTCCATTTATTTAAGTTTTGTTTTAGCCCTTAGAAGTTTTTATTTTTTAAATTGGTTTTTATTTTTGAGACAGAGTCTCACTGTGTCACCTAGGCTGGAGTGCAGTGATGTCATCATAGCTCACTGCAGCCTCCAACTCCTGGGCTCGAGTGATCCTCCTGCCTCAGCCTCCCGAGTAGCTGGGACCACAGGTCTGAGCCACCGCGCCCAGCCAGTGATGTTTCTTGTTAACAGTTTCTCGTATTAGAGACCCCTTGAATTTCGGGCATCCTGTTTTAGCTGCTGAATCAGCTCTGCCGGCAGCGTCGTTCACTTGTGATTGCCTGTGTTCCAGAGCGGTGCCGTCAGAGGCTGCATTTCCGAACCTGAGCAGGTCGACTCTCCCTTCTCGGGAGCAGCCTCCTAGTGGGAGCAGCAAGTGACTCCATCTGACGCTTTTTCTGGGGGTGTCCTTACGTCCCTGTGTGTGGAGATCTGGTCCACGCCTCTTGTCCGTTTTAACATTTTCTTAGGGGAAAAAATCAGCCACGTATTAAAGTGCGTCGAGGTTCTGTTCTTTAAGAACGTGTGGAGTCACCTGTCGTTTGTTTGCTCACGAGAAGCTGCAGTCTGTCTCTGCCGACGTTTACTTATGTTTCTTCCTCTTTGTTTCTCTGTCCTTGATTCAGCTGCCTGGGCTTTATGTACTTTATTGATTGTTCTTCCAAGGAATTTGCTTCATTGGTGGATCAATATTTATCAATTGACTGCTTTTCTCTTTTATCTTAATTTCTCCTTTTTTTAAAGTTTTTTTTCTTCCGACTTTTGAATCAAAATCTTTGCTTGTTTACTTCTGTTCTCTCTTGTTCAGTAGCCAGAGTGTTGAGAATTATAAATTTTTATCAGAGGACCACGTTAGTCTTATCCCGCCACTGCCAATAATACGTATTTTCGTTACATTAGGTATTTGATAATTTTTTTTATTAATGGACAGGGTCTCGCTCTATCGCCCAGGCTGGAGTGCAGTGGTGTCGTCATAGCTCACTGTGGCTTCCAACTCCTGGGCTCAAGTGATCCTCCTGCCTCAGCCTCCCAAGTAGCTGGGACTACAGGTGCCACCACCACACCTGGCTAATTTTTATGTTTTTAGTAGAGACGGGGTCTCTCTTTTGCTCAGGCTGGTCTCGACCTCCTGGCCTCAAGCGATCCTCCTGGCTTGGCCTCCCGAAGAGCTGGGATTGTAGGCGTGAGCCACCACGCCTGGCCTGATACTTGATTTTTTTTAAAAAGATGATTTCTGAGTTCCAAATTGGGGGTGGAGTGTTCGTTTCTTGATTTCTTGGCCTCCAGTGTCAGAAATCAGATGTGGCTTCAACAGTGGCTGCTATTTGGAAGCCACGTCTGTCCTGCTCTGGCTGGCGGACGGGCCACTTGCGCAGCGGGGTCCTTCCTGAGTACTTGGGGGATAGTTTGACATGGGG